GATATTTATCTAAACCTCTTCATGTTTTATTGACGGACAACGCCCTTACAGTGTTTACCAAAACTTAGTTACTATAGCATCTGATTAGCATACAGCATATGGCCAATACTGCCACGCCCCCCCACACACACACAAACAGAGACTTTAGTTATTGACAATTGATTGAATGAAACTTCCTGAAAGGTAATCAAAGATAAAACTTGGAAGCGTCCAAACAAAAGCACGAAAACTACGAAAACATAATAAGGCCTCAAATGTGGATAGGGCTGAACACCTTTTAGGCTGTTGTCACTTAATTGTTGGTGACAGACGGTACACACACAGACACACACGCACACACCCACAGATACACACAATAGAAAACGCAACGCAAATCGAATAATATTTTTATAGACATTTCCAACAATGCGGCCAAGCCAAGCAAAACATGCAGGCAACGGCAATGGCCAAGAACAGAAGAGACAAACAACAAGCCCAAAAATGATAAGTAAACAGTTAGCCAAATTACAGGCCTCAAACTGTTACCAAAAAAAAAAAAAAAAAAAAGGCCGAATTAAATGCCAGCCCTAAAATAACAGGCTAAGGCCTAGTAAAAACATGGCCAAACAGCCGTTGCCTCGGTGCGTGTGTGTTGGCCACAAAATGGTCGCAGTGGAATGTATTTTGTAACCAATCGTAAGAATAACATCGAGCCAAGGAATTGTTCCAGCCAAGTTGCCAGTTGCTCCCATCTCCCCAGCCCGTCCGTCTGTCCGTCCGTTTATTTATTCTAATTTCTGACCCTACTCAAGTGCCAACGGCAAAGGTCGTGAGCGTCGTCACAGCACTTGAGCGACCCGAGCAACTTTTTTTTCCTTTCTTACTTACTTTTCTTCATATTCTTTTCTCATTTTTTTTTGTTGTTTCTACCCAATTTTTTTTTTATCTAGATGGCTCGAGTGGTTGGTGGTTGCCGGTCGCTGGTGGTGCGCGCCCACCAATTTTTCTTTTGGTTTGAGCCATGTTTATTATTTAGTTTGTCCAGCTACCACTTTTGGAATTTACCTTTCGTGGAACTGGTGTTGGCGATGTTAAGTAGTAATTTACTGATAATATGAGTGCCCATTTCTTTGCCTCTTCTCACTACAATACCCGCAATACTCTATGCAAATATTTGACCATGTTCAATATGGTGTGGCCCATTTAAGTAAGCGATACACAGAAGCTTTGCTTTAGTTATTTGATTAGGCTCTTAGGGAGTGAGAGAGAAGGAATTCAAGGAATGTGAGGATACATCTCGGATAGAATCTGAATTGTTCTAAGTATACCCTCTATATATAACTTTATAATCGTAACAGACTTGCAAATTTTGGATATTTATTTATTAATCATAATCCATTTTCTATCTAGTTTCATTAAAATTCATACAAATCCATTATAGGACTTCTTCATTTTCGATATAACTGGAAAATTATAAGTGTTAGAGACATGAAATTTGGAGTGTAGACTAGTCTACAGTATAGTCACAATAAAAATAATTCCTTCTTTTGTTATCTACTCCATGAGCTTAGGTATGCAATCTTCAAGTCCTCTACTACATTTCTTTCATCGGTTACTTAAGCAGTTAATGATTCTGCATATTTAATATGCTAGTCTCCCACAACACTCCACACTAGAGCAATCTTTCTTTGCCTTTTAGGAGACCTGTCAAAACGCATCATAAATTAAGCACATTTATTTGGAATTTTTCGTCTTTTTTAGCCGTTTTATCAGCTGCTTCCGTGAGTTGCAGCTGATCTTTTGATATTTATGATTAATGATTGTTGCACTCCTGTTTGTTTACCTTTACGATTTGCAATCTATCCCACTGGGAAGTGCTACCGTATTTTTGTCATTTTCAAGTCCAGTTCGGGATTTGCTCTTGGGATTATATTGGGATGGAATTGAATTGATGATGCTCCAGAGACTTGTAGCTGGCATCAAAATATTTTTGTATTTTTTTGGTATATTTACAAATATTTATTGAAAGTGCTTGCCTCTTGGGTTCTAATGCTCTCCAACTACATTCATGTATTATACAATTGATCTATGCTTGGATGACTTGACTTAATGCCATTTAAATGCCACCCACAGGTGAATACATTCGCTTACCTTTGGATGAGCTGCTCAACGACGTGCTGCAACTGCCTCCCTTTACGCTTGAGGACGACGTGGTAAGTGATCTTCCGCTCTCTCTCTCTCTCTCTTTGTCTAGCTGCCCCATCTAATTTACGACTTTCTCTGCACATTTTTAGCTACACAGCGATTCGGTTGCTTCCACCTCTCAGGCCGCTGCTGCTGCTGCTGCTGCTGCCGCATTGAATAGCACACCGACAACGCGTATTGTTTCCGAAACGGGCGAGGAATTGATCTTTGCTGAGCAGGAGTTCAACGATAGGGCTAACGAGGCTAGCTACTCGGTCGGTGATTTTGATGATCTGCAGGACTCTGTGGGTTCGCCGCTCTTCGATTTAGATGACGACGCCAAAAAGGAATTAGACGAAATGCTGCAATCAACCGCACCGCCCTACCATCATGCCCATCCCCATGCCCATGCCCATCCCCATAGCCACACCCATCATCATCATGCCGCCGCTGCCGCCCACCACCATCACGCCCACGCCCACCACGCGGCTGCCGCTGCAGCCCATCAGCGTGCGGTCCAGGCGAGCGCCAACTATGCCACCATGGGCTCCACACCGGGCAGCGCCTTTCAGCGTCAGCCGCCCAGCTCCGCTGGCTACCATCATGGCCATCATCAGGTAAGCCATTGATTCGAATCCTTTTAAGTGCCAGCATCCGCCACATACCACTCTTGGCCCCATATACATGTATATATAAATATATATTCGTGTACATTTAAAGCCGCATTCAAGGATCATTTGCACGTCGTTTTCGAGTGTTTTTCATCTTCTTGATTCATTTTTTCTCTTTCTTGATTTTTTTTTTCTTCTTCCATTTTTGCCTCGCTGCCTGTGCTTCGTTCTCGAGCACTTGATCTTGGCTCGCATCATTGTTGTTATTCTTTATTTTTATTTATTTTTTATTTATTTTTTTTTTTCTGTATTTTCGTGGCTGTTTGTACAAAGCTTCAAATCTGGTTGTATAAAACACGGCCCGGTTCAGCCTCGCTCAGCCTTCTTCATCCGTTCCGTTTCGTTTCAGCCAGCAAAGTTCGTCAATCTGTGGCTTTTGTTGTAACTGCCTCATCAAAAAGATTGAGGCGAGCAACGAAAATATCTGTATATCTAGTATATATGTAGATGTATATGTATATGTATATATATGTACAAGTTGTTGTTGGCTTCATCTGTTGCTGCTGCTCTTCAGCTGCGCTCAAGTCTTGTAAAGATTCTTTTTGGCTCGACTGCCCTCACGATGTGTCTGATTTGTGTGAAGCTCTTGCTGTTGCTTGTTTCGTTTGTTTGCGCAGCTTGGCTGCTGCAAGACAACCAACAGCAACACCATCACCAGCACCACCAACACCGCCCCTGCTCACCACTCACCAGCTGGCTTAACTGCCACCTATTGATATGATTTTGATTTGATGGGGCAAGACAACTATGCTTAATGTGACTCACAAGCGAAATTCAGGCAGAAACTGTACCAAACTTAAGGTATATTTCCCATGAGTATAAATTGTATTATTAGGCAGGACCTTATATGATGATAGATAGTTTGACTTGTAGTAAAATTTGTATATGCTGTACAGAATCAAGCGTAAAATTAGGTGTGGAAGTCTTATATGAGCATAATCTATATATGGTGTGTCAAGAGATTATATTAGTTGGGTATATAACAAAGATTTTGTATTCTATCTGATTCATATTTGAAGATTCCGGCTAGTTTGGTTAACGTTAATGTTAATACCAAATGTAGTACCTAATTGAAATATTAGCTTACTTCTCTGTATTCCCTATGTTATATTTTTAATGTTAATATTAGCACTTCTGTTAATGCTGACAATAATGCTTAGCTAACTGTTAGATCTGTATGCCTCTCTTGCTCTCTCCTGCCATTATCTTTACACACTTCTATAAGTCTGTCAATTTAATGATGTCTTTGATCTATTTATATTGAGTTCTAAGTGTCTTCTGACAGCTTATGGTGTCTGGTGTCTAAGCCGCACGCAAAGCCAAGCAAACAAGTGCAGCGGCAAGCGATAAAACCACCAAAAACCACACTAAACCACCAAAACATGTGTCCTTGCTACTGAATGGGTAGCTGCTCAAAATATTTAACCAGGCTCTATGCGCATGCGCAGGCATCTAATGAAGCTGAACAAAGGCGGCCATACAATAGAGTGAAGAAACGCAGCTACAGTTGACAGAGACAACGAGAGAGAGAGAAGGAGAGAGAGGGAGACGATGTCAGAGCTGAGCAGTCATGAAGTCAGCGGCAATTACTTTAAAGTCTTTCTTTCAAGCCGCTCGCTGTGGTTAGCCGCAAGGGATTAGAGGTGAATACCTTGAACCCGGGAACCCTCTAACTGTAACCCCTATATATGACAGACTCTCTCGCTCTCTCTCTCTCTCTCTCTGGCTCTACCTTGATGCTGTTCAGTTTTGGTGAATGCACAGCGGGTTACGGCGGCGGCAGCTACTTGTTGCACTTGCATGGCATAGCCAAAGCCATTTAATGAGCCAGATGATCTGTATTTGGCTTTCACAGGAAGCGCAACGGCAAATCCTCGCATCTAGGGTTTTTACCCAACTCCATCTCTGTCTCTTTGTATAGCTCACTTTGTCTCTATGTCGCCCTGTCGCTCTGTCTGTGTCTGTCTCCTGGTTCAACTGTCTGTCATTAGGCAACTTTGTCGATCTTGATTATGATTATGCAATGCGGTGTGCAAAGTGTCAGCTTCCTGATAACATTTAATTTGCCATTTGTGCGCGTAACTAAAACCCCGGGCTAAACCCTCGATCTGCTCGCCACTCCCCTACCCCTTCTCCTCCTGCTAATTGCAATCACAATACAAATACAGAGAAAAAAGAGGGGCACAAAAAAAACTTGGCTTAGCTTGGTGTTCATTAATGCCGCTTTGTTGTTGTTGTGGCTGCTGCTGTTGCTGTTGTTGTAGCAATGCGCCACTTGAGTTTTTCCGCATGTGCGCCGTGTGTTTATTGAATTCGGTGGCACTTGCCGCCCCTCCGCTGCCACGCCTCCGTTGCCGTTGTCTTGATTGCAGCTGAACTGCGGCCACTTCAATTGCCGCTGCAGTAGCCCCTGCAATTAAATCTCCATTTAGTAAGCGCGAATACAGCAACAGCAACAACAACAACAGCAACAACAACACAAAAAGTATCTCTTAATGCTCGCAGCCCTAAGCCCGCCGTCTGTTGCCGCGACTTCCCCCTCACGCCTTAATCGTCGTCGTCGTCGCTTTAATTATGTGAATTTTAAATATTTACAAAAAGCGCTAAGCACAAAATCAGCGCAAAAAACTTTATTAATTATTTTACAGCATCTTCGAGTTATATACACAATTTTTTGCTCTCGAGTGTGAGAGTGTGAGTGTATAAGGTTTTTTTTTATGTTTTTTTTTATTCAATTTATGTAAACAGTTTGATGGCTGTCGCGCTGTCCTCTTGAGACTCGTAAATCAAATTAATGACAAAAAGAAAGAAATACAGCAAAAAAATTGAAATAAACTGCGATTTGATTTGATAGCAGAGTGAGTGAGACAAAGAGAGAGAGAGAGAGAGAGAGAGAGAGGTATGAGCGACTATGCAAAGACTATCTTTAGTTATAGCCAGAGATTTGGAGTTTCCTTTTGCAGAGAAAGTTTGTGAAAATGCTTGATGTGCGCATTCAGCAGCAATCGATTGGCTAATTATTAGCATTAGAGCTTAATGATGGGAGTTAATTTGTTTTAAGATCTCTATAATCAAGTAATAGTACTCTAGGGGAGAGAAGAGTCTAGAGATGCCCAGCTAATGGCACCTGATAGCATATAA